TTTTTTTTTTTTTTTTTTTTTCAGAAAATAATACAAATCAAAATAGTTCATCATCATTCAGTTATTTATGATGGAGCAGTTTTTGTATAATTGTGCTTCTCTTGGGAGCAAGTTGGAAACACGGAGATGCAGAATTTCCCTGTTTGCTATGAATGAATGATCACAAAATCTAAAGTTTCCAAAATCTGAAGAAGTTTCTGCAATAACACCAACACAGCCAAGTGACATTCACTCACATACAGGTTATCAAACGAGTTAAAACTTTCTTTCTCCACAAAACTGCTTTTCATTAATTAAAACTTTGCATACATTTCCTTACTTGCTCTCATTTGTTACTTCCAGTGATACCTATCCCTTATACTGATGGGGAGTGGGCAGGCAGGGGGATAAATAGCAATTAATGTCTCAGACCAGTTCTTAAAAGCCAAGTGCTAGCACAAAGGTCACTATTACATTTTCAGTTACATCCATTGTAATGTACTTTTTTTCGTTGCCGAAGGTAAAGAACATCCACAAAAAGATTTGTTGGGGTGTTAAGATACAGTGACAGCAAATCTGTGTACAAAAAAAGAATCTTGCTTTTTTGGTACATCATTGATTTGAGACATATCTGAACTCCTTAGGTACCAACTTCTAGATGCCTCTTTCTAGCAAGATTTGGAAAATAACTTAGATTTATCTTAGTTGAGTAGTTCCAATACAAAATAGCTATTCATCCCCTGCCCAAACCCTTAACTCTTGGGCCTGAACAGACCAGCCTATTTGTCCATCGTTAGATAAATTACTTTCAAGGCATAATGTGACTTACTAGAAAATCTGGAAATTATCCCAAAACCCTCATCTTTACATACATATTCATAATTCAGTGTTTAAACTAAATTTGTCCTGTCAACATATTTTCATCAGCTGACTTGTTGGTGTGCTGTAGCTCCTTTTTCATGCTTGATTTATCACAGGGGACCCAACATTACTCCTTTTCCTGACTGGATGACTCCCAAGTCTGTGAAATGTCTTCAGAACAACTCTATAAACACTTCTTTTGATGATATGCCTAGAAATACAGATTAAGAAGCAGGTAAAAAAATAAAGCATTTTTCAAGAGTGTCTGAAATCCTGTTGTGGACTCCAGCCTTTTCATTGAAACAGTCTTACTTAAAAAATCTGATACTGGCAGGAAGGAAAAAGACTTATTGAAGAAGTTCACTATATAGGATCTGCTTTGAAAACACTCACTTGGCCTTGCAAAAATAATATAAGAAATAATTGAACACAACACCTTTGGATGAGACAAAAAGTACTGGTTTCATACTGGATTAGTCAGCCTTAACAAAATTTTCATTCAAACTCTGCAAGACATCAGGGTCTAATCATTCTACTATTTTAAACTTAAATGCTCTACAACCTTCAAAAAATAAGATGGATTCAGTTTTTTGGAGGTTGCTAAATGGTGTCAGTTATAACAGCAGACATCTTCTAACAGAGTGTACGTTTTCACCATTTCTGGGGGTATTTCCACCAGTTTTCTGAGAAACTTAAACTGTTCTTGTAACTACAACCTCATTCATGAGACATTCAAAACAAGGAACTCCATTTTCAGCTCCCAAATCCTAGTTTTCAGGCAATATAACTTAGCAGCTTTTCCAGAGTCTTGGGTGAGACGAACCTCATACCGACGACGAACCCTGCCATCTAGTGGCATTTAGACGTTGATCACATTTATCACTGTGGCATCCTTGTGTTTCATCTGAACTTTTAAAGCAGCATCCTTTTGTGGTAAATGCACTGTGAAAGACTTTCAGAAAATTTAGAGATATGCTGACTCGCAGTTTTGTTACAAGAATTTCTCCTTTTATACAATATTTTCCACTGCCAATGCTGGAAAAAACACACTAGGTATAGCTACAGGAGGAAAATACTAGCTCTGAGCTGTATCTTCCATGAGAGGTATAGCTTACTTTGAGTACATTTCTGAGTTGTAAAGGTGAAAAATGATATTTAGGAGCCCATCTAATGCTGGAGATAAAGCTGAGAACACAATGAAGTTGTATCCCTTATGTTAAACAAACAAAAAACTCAAAAAACAAACATCCCAAACACTACTTTTTGCTGGGTTTTTGGAAACCAAGTATTTTAGAAGTTTTAACAGAAGTTACTTACTTTGCCAGTACTTGAACTTGCTTCTCAGCTGAAGCTGGGATGACATTTCTGAATAAAAGTTTGACTTCTGAAGAAGTTTTAGCTTGCACAGTGTCTGGGAAGTGCAGGGAAAGTTTGTCCTTGCTTGAAACTATTCAGCAGAACACCACGGCAGCTTATTCCCTTGCAAAAATACTTTGTAACTCCTTTTAGGACCACACAACTGAAGACACCATTTTTGATGTGCCCGTACTATGCATGCCTCCAGGACACAGCTAGCTCAAAAAGCATTTCTGAAATGCAAGGTGGTTCCTTTTCTAAATGTTAGGGAAGGCTGAGCTGCTCTTGAGACCAACCAGGATGCTCTATGGAATTTATTAATGGGGATTATAGTAGAGTTTCTTATGCATTCTTCTTTGGAAGAATGTATTTTATGGCACATTAAACTATCATTATATTCACCTAATCTTGTAGGTTCCCCATCAGAGAGACACTATGAATTTATTTATTTTTTTACAATGCATTGTTACCTTTCTAATAATCTATTCAGTAGGAACAAGTTTTCTTTATACTCTCTGTCCCTTACCTTACTGCAGTCAGAGGGCCTGGATAAAAAGCAGAATTCATGCCTTTGACCTCAGAAACTCATTCACTGGATGTGAGAGGCTTGAGAAGGAAATAAAAAGGCATGAAAGTTGGCTAAATATGCAGTTTATTGAAACAGAAAACTGAAGGGAGGGACTGTTCTCTGTTCTCCACCCCTGAGGCCATGTCTGGAGCAGCATGTGCAGTCTGGACTGCCCTGTACCAGGTAGACATGGTAGAGGACCTGACCACCTGGATCCCTGGAGTGCACACCGCTGGGGCAAGGCTGGGGGAATGAGTCATTCACACATTGTAAAGAACACATTTGCATGTATGTTTATACACATACCTATATGTTTACTGTACCTGTATCTTGGATGAATTATTGCATATATGATGGGGTTGTAGATTGCAGAAGCTTTGGCAATAATTGCTGGCACAGATTTGGAATATGGTGTTAGGGTGTTGCCTCGACTAAAACAAAGCAAAAACATTACACACAGCTATGCCAAAGAGTAATACTAAATTACTAAATCCTATTACTCTCTTTTACTGTTATTATTGTGCTGCAATTTCTTTATAAGAAATACTCCTAAAAAGTGAATTAATTCAACTGCTTTCTTTGCTCAAATGAAAGGCTTGCATTTAATAGTGCCTACCTGGTTTCATTCATTTGGAGAAGATGAAACACATGCAAGTAATTACCTATTTGAGGATTACCAGGAACATAAATAATCACCTTCCCTGTCTCTACACTAGGCAAAAAAACCCATCCAAAAACCTACCAAAACAACCCACACTGTGACCATCTGGGAAAACGGAATGGTGATAAAAAAGAAAACAGAATCAAACCTAAAAATCTTTCAGCAGCAGCAACTGTGCTGCACAGTAATGGATGTCAATAACTTGGTTGCAAACACTGCAGAAGGAAGAGAGGACTGGAAGTAGTTTGAAACCAATATTCCTCCATTGACAGTGCAGGATAATCATAATATTACAGACTGACGGAATGGTTTGGGTTGGAAAAGACCTTTAAAGATCATCTAATCTAACCTCTCTGCCATGGGCAGAGACATCTCTCATTAGATGATGTTGCTTAAAGCCCCATCCAACCTCACCTTGAAATTAACATGCACTGTTCTGCACAGGTCATGAGGTCCCTTTCAGGGAGAGAGCCATTGGAGGAAGACAGGAGCTCAGGGTGAATATCAAGGAATAGAACTTCTTTCCTGCCCTCCATCAGAGACAGCAATGTATGAAGGAAGCTTCTTTAGAGAATGGGTATTAGGTGAGAGAAAATATAACTCCCGGTACTAATACAAAGGAAGTATCATGGGGGAATGTAAATACCCACAAGGATATAGAGAAGCACACAGTATCATTTCCAATGTAGTATAATGGATCCCCCTTTCAAAAGGGAGGTCTGCTTATTGTGGGTTACTGTGCTAATCACACTTAAGTTTCAGAATAACCCGCACTCTCTGGATTATATTTCCACTTACCCAGCCCAGGCAATCAAGGTTACACAAGCATATGGAGACCAGGACAAGACAAACACGATGATGACCACAAAAGCAATTTTTGCCAGTTTCCATTCATTCTTCATGGACTGAGAAAGGCAGGATCTCCGGTTGCAGGACCCCAGCTTTTGAACATCTCTTTGAGGGGAAAAATACAGTTATGTCAGCAGAGGGGTGAAAACCCAGGTACATCTCTAATACACTCTCAGCAATGTGCAAAATTCAGCAGATTTCTTCTTTCCCTGCTCTAACTCTTCTACTCCTCTGATATTTAAAACTCTAAAAGGTGATTAATACAGTAAAACTCAGACATTCTGTCTGAGCTTTGTTTGCCTGTGGGACTGAGCCAGAAGAACCCTTGGGACTACAGGACTGTCATGTCCTTATCCTAACAGAAGGAGGGTTTCAGTTTGGAGGGATGAAGAAAATGGCACCTCTCACCCTTTGTTGCTTTCAGTGGTGGAACAAGCAAAGGCACAGTTGGATGCAAACATCAAATCTTATGGCTTTTCTTTTTCTATGGAGGAACATCTGGCAGAAATTCCAGCTTATGGGGTAACATGTGCTGGAATACCCTGACTACTCTGAGGAATCTGTCCCCACAAGCTCACAGGGGCATTTTTATTTTCCTGCAGATGTATTCAGGGGCAAGTACAACAGGCAGCACTAGTGTTTTTGCAAAAAAAAAAAAAAAAGTCCCATCAAAGTATCTTCTCACATTTTATTGAAAAATTGTTTTATATTGTTTAGCATTTTGTATAGTTTGGCATAGAAATAACAAATTTTACATATCAGTGTTGTTAAATGAAGATACATTTCAGGCTAGAGACAGTAATTACCAGCCAGCAGGATAACAAAATGCTTCCTCATGATCTGTGGACATACTCATAAAGTGATTTTCTCTATTAGTGAGCAAAAAGCACAGAAAAATCTTGTGGCCACTGTGCTTCACAGGTGTACAAGACACCATAGTTTTAAGGATACGTTCTTTGCTTCTTCACTTGATACAAATATGCATATGCAAAGCACAGTAAAAACCAAGACAAAGGGCAAGAAGTAGAGTTCAGTAACAACTGACATACAGCTAAACACACTTGTAAAAATGAAATTTAGCCAAATTACTGTAGCAAGTGCCAGCAGGTAGGTGCACAGAAAAACCACCAGAGCTGATGACACTGGAAGCAGTGGAAAATACAACTCTAGCTGCTGTTGGATCAAAGATAAGTCATGTGCTTATTAGAGGAAAAATAACAGATAGAATGAAGTTATTTTACAGATGTAAACGTCTGCTGATTTTTATTTCAAATACAGACGATGAATTTGTTTGGAAAAAAAGTGTCCTAATAAGCACAGCCAGATACATGCATGCAGTTGTGATGCTTGAGTGAACCACAAGGTTTTCTGGGATGCCTGCTTTAAATAAAACTGTCATAAGTGTCAGAGGACTGCTGTGTTTACAGAGCAGCTCAAAGGCAGATGATGTCCCCATTGCTACATACTATTTATCATCCCTTTGGGCTGAAAATCGTGCTGGAATGAACAAAGACTGTGTTTCTGGAATTGCAAATCTGAAATACCAATAGTCCCAACTATAAAATTATGTGATGTACTATTAATTACCACATTCTGGAATAAGATTAGAACCACCAGAGACTTCTTTCCCTATTCCAAAATACATACATACATTCCAGTTTTTACATTGGCAAAAATATTTCTCTAGTTACAGCTGTTAGTGATCTGCCATTTGGTTTCCAGTTTCAATTCAGATTAATTTTTTATTCAGATTTTTCTGCAGCTAAAGAAATGGAGAAGATCTTCTAAGACAAGAAAAGGGATGTTTAATGATTTGAGCTACATTGCTTACCTGCCAGTACGTCTTATGGCCAGGAACATAAATAAATAGCAATGGAAAATTATTATCAGGGGAATAAAAAACACGCAGCAACATAAAATCATGGTGTAACTTCTGTTTGCAGGAGAGTAGGTTACATAGTCCCATGTACAGGATATCATCAAGCCCTCAGGCACATAGGAACCTATGAAATACATGGAACACATTATTCACACATGCACCCAAAGTCTGCTCAGTTCCTGACCTGAGCACTTAAAATAACCCCCTTACTGTAAACATAGTCTTCAAGAGCTATGCCAGACATATTATACTTGTGGTTTGAGAATGTGAGTGCACACATGGACAGGAGGTCCTGACTTCAAAACTCTCAGAGATACCTAATACTCCATCTGCAATTTGTTCTGCTTGATACAACCTGGGGACAGGGGGGAGGAAGAGATCTGCACTGCAGTAGGTACAGATACATGGTATGACAACAAACCATGTCTAGGCATCCACCCCAGAACTTACCAAAGCCTCACTTTTTTTATAGTTCCAGAAAGGCTAAAACAGGGCACACTAGAATTTAGGGCACACTAGAAGAACGTAGGGCATACTAGAAGAGACAGAGAGGAGACAACATACTCCACCCAAGGAGGGGAGCCACACTCCATCCCAGCGAGTACAGCCACACGCCGGCGATGATCTGCAGGGTGCGCTTCTTTGAAGTCCACTGTATGGATTGCAGGGGCTTAGTGATCACAAGGTAGCGGTCAACAGAAATAGCTAATAAAGTCATCATTGAGGTTATTCCGAAGAGAGCCCCACAAAAAGCATACAAGTTACAGCCTGAAGCAGAAAATGGCAACATTAGGGATTTTCTTAAAACAAGTACATGTTTTCTCTCAGAGCCCAACATGATAAAACTCTCACTTAATTTCCTGGATCAGGACTTCTCTCCCATTAGAAGAATTTTCTTAGCATCACAATTTCATAGTTATTAAATATTTATCAGGAAACCACAAACATTAATCAAATACACACATATGTTTTTAACAAGTCCTATTCTTCACTGTGGGCTGCAACGGGGAACATTTTTTCAATGGAAAACTGCCTTACAGAGAATCCAATCTAATTAAAGTTACATTTTCCTGGACCATTGCCCAATATATTGATCTTAACAGGCTACAGCAGACATCTGTCTGGTAATGACAGATGGATATTTCAGAAAACGCCTTTGGTTTATGTGGCTTAAAAACACAGAAGTAAAAGACCAACTGGAAAACATAGCTCCAGCTCCTATATTTTGTAGCAGCACTGACATTTTTTACATGAAACAGATTATTTTTTTTCCCTTTGTGATAGCAGAGAAAAACCTAATTTGATTCAGAAACCTGTGTAAAATACTTTTCTTGAGCTCTTGCATCACCCCCCGTGGTTATAGACAACAGCCCACCAGGAACGGAAGGCAATTGAAGTACTAGGTTCAACCTTAAAACAGACTTCTTAAAGCCTTTATAAGCAACCTAAAATTAGGGACTAAATCTCACTCAACCCAAATAAATTACTTCATTAATGGCAGCAGGATAATTTACACTGATTTTATCTAAGGGGATGAACAAGACTAAAAACTGAAGGAGCTCCTTTTGTGCTGCTAAATGGTGTCTGCGTTTGCTCCACCAATACACAACCAGTACTTGATGCAAATTTTGACCCAATGATGTGACAAGCAGTACCAAGCAGAGCATTAAGTCTTCTGAGGAACTTGATATATTCACATTTCAGATACAATTTGAGCATGCAACAAAGTTTCTTTCTTGAAGTTGGAAAGAAAGGAGCTTTATCTGCAGTCCTCAACTGACTACTCTTTTTAAATACCTTAACTACAAGTGAGATTCCTGGAAGCATGGTAATAGATAACAACATACATTTCTAAATAAGAATATGAGCTCTTTCTTAAACCAATTAAAATAAATAGATTATTACTCAATAAAAAATTTCCACTCATGTTCAGCCATAGCATTGGCCCTTACAAGCTAAAGGGTAACATGATTATATGTTGATGTTGACTCCTTTCTTTCCAAAATAAGTTAAAGCATCAAAACTTTAACACAAAACATGTGCCATCATAGAATCACAGAACGGTTTGGGTTGGAAAGGACCTTAAAGATCACCTAATTCCACCCCCCCTGCCATAGGCAGGGACATAGCCCCCTAGATCAGGTTGCTCAAAGCCCCATCCAACCTGGCCTTGAACACTCCCAGGGAAGGGACATCCAGAGCTCCCCTGGGCAACAGATGCCTGTTGGGTGGTGTTTCACCACCCTCACAGTAAAGAATTTCTTCCTAATGTCTAACCTAAAACAAGCCTCTTCCAGTTTAAAGCCATTACCCCTTGTCCTCTCACTACATGCCCTTGTAAAAATCAGGGCCCACTGACTAATGATGTCAAGAACCTGGGTTGTCACTCAACAGTCTTGTCCTGCTGTCTCCATGGCAAAAGCTAAGACTGTTACGGCTAAAATAGGCTGCAGACAGCGTAGAGCTAGTGAAGTATGAATTAGTGTTGAGGAGTACCTGTATCTCCAAGTATCCACTCTCTGTGCAAGCTGTTGACAAAGCACATGGGTGCCTGAGAAGCCGACATTAGGAAGTCGCTCACAGCCAAATTCATAATAAAGTAATTTTGGGGTGTCCTCAGCTTCTTGTTGCTTAAAAACATCAGAAATATGTGGGTTTAAATGGACAAAGTAAAGTAAACTTTTTAAGTTTTATTGCTAGCATAAAAAAGTACTATCCAGGCTGGAATCAGTGGTTACTTACAGTCAATCAATTCCAATCATCAGTCAATTACTGCAGCTACAGTTGCAGTAATTTCAAAATGATGGCTGACAATAGCAGAGAGGATAAAAAGAGTTGAGTCCTCTTCAAACTGAACAGAATTCCAGCTGTCTTAAAAAATATGAATTTGTTCAGAAGAGCAGTTCCCTACAAGAGCAGCAACACTGAGCGTGTCCTGCGCTGCAGAAGATCTCTAGCAGGTTACAGAGCGAAAGGACCTGCTTTTTTTGGTAAATTTTTAAAAGCTTCTGATGTGCAGAGTCACCACATAACCACTACTGAAATGACCCTTTGCAAAGTGCTGTGGCACAAGCAAGACATGCACAGAGATTTGAAAGAAATACTTTTGTTCACGTACATCTCATAAAAGAGAACAAAAGCTCTCAGCTGCAGATGAACAGGCAACATTAAAAGCCACAATGAGGAGTGTGAAAGCAGCCGCCACTCTGCAAGCAAAGTTTATCCAAAGAAAACAAACATCATTTCCAGTTTTTTCTCCCCACATCTCACCACCTCATGTAGTGTCACTTCTTAGGGATATTTGCAGCTATAGCATCCTCGGAAACTTTCCACTGGTATTCAAGATTGCCCTTGGCTCTGGCTAAGAGGAATAAAGACACTGGTAACATAATAAAGAATCTCTCATTTTTACTTGGGGTTATCTAGTTGAACATGCCCTTGTTGTCTGATTATGTCCCACTAGGAAAGTTAAATCACTTTGTGAGTTCAGGTCACCCAAATCTACCTTAAAACTGGCACTTTTGAGTGATAAACTGAGAAGGTGTAATGCTGAACTAGTAGTCCCTCAATGCAAATCACTGCATTGGTTGTATGGTGAAGAGCTTTGATACTTAGAGTTTGAATTCAGAATTTTTCACTGTGTTGGGTACATATAACACAAAAATAGGTGACTTGGCACACTGCGAGACACAGGGAGGAAGCAGGATTTTATAAATAGCTTTGTTCTTGCAACCTGCATGCAGCTACTCTCAATTGTTCAAAATAATTTTCTCGTCTGCCCCAAACCTCTCCCTCAGTGTAGGAAGTTGAACAACTAAGGCCTTTCTGATGTACTTTAAAATATCACTATTTGCAGCTAACATGAATTTCTTTCCTCATGCTGATAAATACAGGAAAAGAAATTGAGAAACCTATCTCAATTCTGCTGCAATTCTAACAAAATCTTGGGTCTCATAACTGCCTGCAGCAACTGGGTGAGAGAGGATGCAGAGTTCGCACTTTTTCAGTTGCTCATCTATCCATGGAGAGTTTTGTGCCCTGACAATTCTATGCTTCTATTGCATCAGCTAAACCAAACAAATTTCAAGAAAAGCTAAGAGCTTGAACTTCATTTAAAAAATCATGAATGTTATCTATAGTTGCAGGGAATTATATTTCTCCTCTATCTCATATTAAAAGCCAGTTATTCAAAATTACTACACTAATTTATTTGTCTTAAACATTTAAAAACAGGAAACTAACACTTGGATTTTAACCCCACTTGTGTTTCTAGCATTGCAAGCCCACTCTGCATCAACATGCATGAAGACAACTAGTAGTGAGCGAGAAGGATTTTGAAATCCAGCATCACATTGTGGGACAGAAGGCAGCTATTCATTTTTTCCATGAGTATTTTGCATACTCTAGCTGCAGTAGCTTTGGCTGTCTATTACACTGTCAGAAGCCAAGTGAGCACACAAACTGACAGAAATCCTATGATCTGCCTGAAGCAGGGAACAGACTGATGACATGAGCTCATTCTATGTAGTGCATCGCTTTCTTGGACCTTCCAGTACATCTGGGCTGCTAGAAGGAGCATCAGTTTTTGTCAATTATTTCTGCAAATTCTACAGGTGAGTGAAGAAGTCTACAACCAGGAGACTGGGGTTTTTACCACTAAAAGTATTCACTTTTCTTTAAAATTTCAGTTGTAATTGTTTGTAGAACAAGTTATTTATTTTCTCATTTTCTTTGATTCCTTAAAACATGAGGAATTTACACTGAGGTTACCGGTGATGTGGGTGGATGTGTGTTGGGGGGGCACTGTGATTCCCCCCACCAATTCTTCCCATCAGCCTTTGCTTGGAGATTTAATCCAAGAGGGAACCAATGCAGAAACTCTGCACACAGACACATGTGAACCTCAAGGCCAGTCAAATTCACCATAAAAGGAATTATTGTACCTGTAAAATGCATAGAGAACTAGGAGATTTCCGATGATGCCAATGGAGCCAATAATGAGCACGCACGTTCCTACGGTGTAAAGAACATGGTCAGGGATCTCTGATTTGGTCACAGTGTGTGCCTGGGTGCCCATATTCAAATCCTGAATGGAAAACAGAGGAAAAGGAGAGCTTAGCCCACTCAGGACACTTATTCCAGGAGACACGCGCTCAGCATGTTTAAGCAAGGCAGAGCATTTGTTTCCACAGTTTGTGCAAATCAGACACACATCTCTGTGTTCTTTTCACATTGAGTAGCTTTCATTACTTTAACAACACATATTTATATTAAAAACAGAACAACAACAACAGGGGAAACAGACTGGAAAAAAAACAACTAAAAAAATTATGGCGGTAACGTAAAAAAGGCAGATACACTGGCATAAAACCCAATCTTGGCAAGTGCCGCATTTTGCAGCGCAGAGATAACTGACAACACAAACTTCAGTTTAACAAGGAGTAGTCCATAATACCTCAATTTTATTAGGAACACTGATATCATATCCCACACTTAAAAACATTAAATCCCCCTTGTCTCCCTATCCACTAACTTAGAGTGCTGCAAAACATGGGCATTTCCCATGGAAAAAGTAGAAGGGAGGCAAAACAACAGCAGTAGCATTGCCTGTGTAAGCACAAATACATTAAATAGTCTTGACACTGCCCTTTATCTCCAGCATGTGAATAAAACTTCAGCAGTTCTCTATGCTTTTGGGTTGGGGCTTTTTTTTGTTTGTTTGTTTGTTTGTTTTTAAACAAAGTCAGATTTATCACTGGCTAAATTCAGCAGAAGGGCAGCCCTACAGCTATTCCACTCAGCTCTCATTAGATTTATTGACAAGAGGAGTCCGAATTGCTTGATGGAGATGCTTTTTTACTGAGTGAAAGCAGCTAAGCAATGCAAAGCACTCACACATGCAGTCAGATCTGGACAGCTTAGTCAGAGGTATGGTACCTTGTCACAGGACCTTCTACCCATAACCACATTTTGCAGCTGTGCAGTGTTGAACGAGGCTGATTTTGGCCTGCAGAAGAGGAGCTGGGCAACAGAACAGGTTCAAGATGAGTACTATCACCCTTCTGGTAGTACTTGAGTGCCCATTTAAAAATCCTTACAACAGCTTTTTCCTTCCCCTGTTGCTAGCTCCTTATCTCCCATATTCCTGCTTCTCCTTTCTGCCGTCTGTTATTCCTCACTCATCTGTGAGGTACACACACTACAGCTCCCTCCTTGCACAACAGCTGTAGCTGCTACACCCTGATCTGTGCGATCCCACCAGGGGTGCTCCCCAGGGCAGGTAAGATGTGTAGCACATTCTGAACATCCACAAAACAACGGGTCTGGAGCGGAAACACTGACAGCAAAGCTCCTGGGGCTGAACTGATGTAGTAAATGGTACCAAAGTTATGGTTTAAAAGCAGAGACCTGCTTTCAAGCCTCAGCAGTCAGACAGACTCAACCCATAATAGGATTGCTACCACCAATGTGACATTTCACCAAAGTTAACATCATGTATAAGTAGAAAGACATTAAAGGGAGCATCTGCTGACGCTGGCTGCACCAGGAGGCCATCACTGCTATTCCCAGCAACTAGGCAGCAAGAAAAAACATCACCCCATGTAGCATTTACCCTGGAGGAAGGTGTGAGAGGTAAGAGCAGGCAGTGCATGGGGAAGCAGCCCAGAGAAGGAAGGCAGGTGGGGCTGCTCAGTAGCACCAGGCACAGACAGCGCTGTGATTTCAGAGTAGGGCTGCCTGGGTACACAAATTAACTGTGTTTAACTCCTTTCCTCTTCCCTCAAATCTCAGCAGCATGCATGCACCAAATCAGAACCCTGCCTCACTTCTGGCAATGCCTACCAAAGAGGCTACGCTAGGGAAAAATGTAAAGGATCCTTTTTTCCCTTCCTTTCCAGCTTCTCTATTAGGCATGCTTAGGATTTACTCCTATACAGAGAGTTATTATACAAAGGAGTATTATACAGATGTTGTAATTCAGGGCAAGAAGTACTTGCCTGCTGTATGCATTATGCCTCACCTCACCATATGGGAACTTGCTGCTGGAGAAACTAATTTGAGAAATGGACTATAAATTTCACACCCAAAGGGATCTCACTTTATCTCTGTGCTGAAGAGAACCTGAGTTTGATGCTTTGGCTTCATATATTCATTTATGAGTGGTGAGCTGTGTCAGAAGGTGGAAAACATCTCATGTGACACATTCGTAAACTCAGATTACAGTTTTCTGGCAACATTAGATAAAATATAAACTATTGAAATTTACAGAGTGGAGTTTGGAAAGCAGGAAATACTAGAGATTACAAGGAGCCTGCAATCTCAGCAAGAAGCAGCAGTGAGGGAAGCTTAGATTATACAGTCTTTAGAGAAGGGCAAGAGCCTTCAAGCAAGTCCATAGAATACCACAGCCACATTTGCTACAATGTTAATAGCAGTAAGAAAAACTCTAAGATCTGAACAAAAGGACAGCTACTTATTCACTCTGTTACCCTGAGACAGCAGGATGTGGCAGCATTCAGCTGTATGAAATGTGGGAAGCTAATAAAGATAGAAAACCATTTAAAACACCACAGTTTGGATTTTGAATGATGAGTGTGCATATCTATGTGTGTCTGTGTGTATATATATATTTCAACAGTAAAACTTACCTTTCATTTAAAAAAAATAGTTTCATTAAACTTGTGGAAATTTTCTAAATAAAAGAGGCTAAACCAGAACAAATAGCTGCAAGCTAGTCCAAGAGAATTTATATCTCATTCTACAGATTTTTTTATTTTTAAAACTAATTTGCTATAATTTAACAATAGAAAGCTTTAAGAATAAAGATTTAAATACCCTTAGGGTAGAGAATATAAAATCTACTGTATTGAAAAAAATGCTGCTTTTCTAATACAAACGCATTCTTGGTACAGAATAATACCCAACTGGAGACAAACCATAAGCATCATGAAACCTTTAAGATGTAAAACAAAAACAAAAACAAAAAAAAACCAAAAAAACAAAAACATTTTTTCTCTTTTCCTGTATTTTCACTTATGGTCTTTTTGGTAATTTTGATTATTAATTTAAGTACTTGCTAATGTAAATATTTTACAGTATGAAGATGAGGACTAGAGTTTGAAAAAAGCCTCTAAGCTTGGTGATGAGTGCTAATGAGAAGCTGGATTTTGCTAATGTGCTCAAAAGCTGTTACCACTCTAGGCATTTCTTTGGTACTTTTAGTTTCTCTCAAGTAATAAGAATAAAATTAAACTATAGGAGAATATTACACAAGTTGCTGTGGCTCTTTCCAACCCAACAAATCCCAGATAACTATTGCAAATCATTTCAGATTACTTGGTGAGCAGGACAGCAGCTAAGTACAGCAAGTTGCATTTGCTGTAGTCACTGTTATGTCTTACCAGGTTATGTCTTTACTAGCCTCTCTTAGCACCAAAATGATATATGGTCAATGACAGCTGGTATGAGCCAGCAAAAAACAAGGGGAAGGGTTCTGCCTTTGAGACTTAGCAAAGCGTGGATTTTGGATCCATCTCACACCACTGCTGTCTTACTGCTAGAGTACACTGTGCAGTTATACTTCAGGCTATTCATTTTCGTCTTAGTAACAGTAAACTTAGACACTCCCACCCTTCCCCTTGAGAATACAATCAGAAAACTTAAAAACCTCAGAGACATGCTGTGAGATGCTCCCCCTGCTTCAGCTGCTTCACACTGCCATGGTAATGCACAGCTGCCCTGGATTCAGCATATCTGTCTCAATAAATTGAGTTTATGGGCTCTCAACATCACTGTAGCCAAGCAATGCAGAGTGAGAAGTGTATTCTGTGTAAGGCACTGCCTTGCACCTTCTCTGTAATGATGTGTTTAACATCAAGATAAGGAAGGAAGGCATTACATTTTATTCAACTAATATATTGGACACATTTTCAAGGGCTCATGTGAGAGAGATTCACCCAAGGATGGCTTTGCCTCCCTTCATTCATGGTCCTGGGATAGAACCCCAAGCACTCTGCTGAAGACACATCCATTTCCTAAAAGATTTTAAAGACACCTACCAGAACAACCTGATTGTTTCACTCAAAAATACAAATGCTAACAAGCATCCCATGAATGTGCCAGTATTGCAGCAGGGCCAGCTTCTGGCACACTTGCCTAGCTTTTGTTTCTTTGTTTGGTTCCTTCTAAATTAATAGTACAATCACTTGCTTTTTGACTCTATGAGATGTTAGACTTGACAACTCACATAAATAATGATGTGGCCTTACCCTTATATGTGTTGTGACTACGACATCAAAACACTGTCACCTACATGGCTGCTTGGAGGGTTTTACTAGCAGGGCAACTAACAGATATGCAGGCAAATGGAAGATAAACAATCAACAGCTGTCCCTCAATAAGCTGGCAAAGGAAGCAGGCCACAGTTATAAAAATAAACTTGGTCTATTTCTCCCAAAATAAAGATGAAAAACTTAGCAGATGAGGAAAGCTATTCCATGAAAACTTCTGTAATTTGATTTTTAGTGAAAAAATAATGTCCAAATAATTAGAGCCATCTGTTTCTGCTTTCCATCTGGTAAGGTTAAAAAAAAAGATTGCAATGTAGAAGAGAAAAAATTGTGTTTAAAGAAAGAGGACAAGTGTAGATCCCCTTCAATGGGTAGGGACAGAAAAAAATGGATCAAATTCAGAAACAGTTATGTGATTGGCATTAGGTGGGTATAAGTGTATCTAAAGCTTCATTTATGCTCTGATTCTGGTCATGGATGCAAGCTTATCTTGTGGAAATGATTTGCACTAAAATGAGCTTAAGTAAGGGCTTGCTTACATGTGGGATTAATGTGGCCTAACAAGGGAGTGAATTAACAGCATAGCAACCCCCCTGTGCTGACATGCTACACGGATTTAAAAGGTAGAAGTTTGATTTTACTGTACAAAAATATCTAAGTTACTCTTGGAAATTTTAAAGAAAGATAGTAAACAATATGATCATTGATCGTATTGATGAGATGATGCTATGATGAGATAGGAGCAATCCATGTGTGCCAGCTACCAGGTAGTACTTGCCAAGTTCCTTGTA